GAGAGAGAGAGAGAGAGAGAGAGAGAGAGAGAGAGAGAGAGAGAGAGAGAGAGAGAGACTCTTCTTCTTCTTCTTTACACCTCCATATCCGCCTTCTCTGTCTGACATCAAGAGAGAGAGAGAGAGAGAGAGAGAGAGAGAGAGAGAGAGAGAGAGAGAGAGAGAGAGAGAGAGAGAGATGCACCAGACACTTGCCATGGGCAACTATTTCAGGGACGCACAGTGGCCGCCGGCCAGGTTCAGACTTGACATTCTATGTGGGGACGATTGTGGGACTTGAAGGGAGACCATTTCAGGTGTAACAGTTACATTTGAGATGTCGATCTCTTCTTCTGGTTTCTCCCACATTTCGTCCCCATCTCCCACCTCCATCAGCCATTGTCTTCTCACATACGTGTGCACAAGGAGGGACCTTTCTCCCATGTATGTTCTCCCTCCTCGCATCTTTCCATGATGATGATGTTGTAACTGTGTGAGGTTTCTCGAGTCTGATGGGTCAGGTTGCTGTTTTGGGGTCTTCTGCTGTATTGTTATTGCATTGTGTCTCCTTTTTTCCCCATGTGGGGATCCTTGGATCTGTGCATAGCATATCTACTGATAGCCATCCAATCGGTATGGCTCCCTAAAAGGACCCTAAGTGCCACTCGCTTACCGGACGACCCCCTTTTACATCGGATTCATGATCGCTTATTACTCTACAGAGTCTACACCCCCACTATACTCAGCTTTCTCCACTCCCAGTATCCAGAAATAATTGGGCAGGTGGACTATCACTTCAAAGAAAACAATTGCGCCGCTGGCGGTTCGGAAAAGCTTGGTGCACAGTAACGCACCTGCGGGCCCAGCTATTGAAGCCGAGCCTGAAAATGCCCTGCGCGCCCAAAACGATGAAGGGGCACGGGCCTCATTTTGGCTGGCGCAGTCAGCCATTTTGGTCCGATACCCCAACCCCCGATAGATGTGACCGTATACGAGCTGCATATTTGTTTTCTCGAGCTGGGTGAAGTATTGGTGGTTTAAAGTTCAAACTACCAGTACTTACGAGCCTCGTTTTCCCAATCCCGTTTTTTTTGGTGCATGCTGAGTTTTGTTGAACTGGCGCGGCCGCAGAATTGGCAAAAAATTGGCTATTGCAGCCAGCCGTGTTGTCTCAGTAGGCCGGGCAGCGAAAGATGCGGCGCATTTATGGCGCCGTCAGAAAAAAAAAAGGCTGGAAGAGATAATTGGGAGAAATTGACCTTAAACCACCAGTACATTTCCCATATGTTGGTCGTGGGCACTGCGCACCGGCCCAAAAATCAAGACTGGGCGTCGATTCGATTTATCGGCGGACGCCATTCCGTTTCAGGCCAGCGCGTTACCTGGCGTGCCTCTGAAAAATAGCTTGGAAAGGTACTGGTGGTTTAAGTTTGAAAACCGTATCCCCCCGATTCCTGGGCACATGAAACCTATTAACCCACCAGACTGTGTATGTTTTCCCGATATGAAAACAAATATGCGTATTGTATACCTGTGCAGCTTTTGGGGTTTGGCCTGCGGAGCAAAATGGCCGGCGGGGGGGGGCAGCCAAAAAGAAGGCTGCGTCGGTTCATTTTTTTTGGCATGCAGCGCATTTCCAAGCCGACGAAAAGTGCCTCGGAAGTACTGGTGGTTTAAACGGCCCGTTGTCAGGCTGAGCCAATTCTTTGAAAAATTGACTGCCAGTTACCACACCTGCGGTCCTGCGGAACTTTCGGGGCTCGGCCTCCAGAGCAAAATGGTTGGCAGCGCCAGTTTGAAAAATTGACTGCCAATTAACACACCAGGTCCTGCGGTCCTGCACAACTTTTGGGGTTCGGCCTCCTGAGTGAAATGGCTGGCAGTGCCAGCCAAAAGGAGGGCTGCGCCAGTTTGTTTTTTTTGTTTGCACACACTGTGTTTCCAGCCCCGGAGAAAAGCGACTCGGAAATACAGGTGGTTTAACCCCCCCCCCCAGTTGTCAGTCTATTCTTTGGAAAAATTGACTGCCAGTTAACACAGACCCGTCGAAAGGCTTGGAGTGCCCCCTTTTGCAAAAAGACTGGCGAAGTGAGGTAAATAAATCACCACGATGGTTCAAATTTCTTACGGCTGGTTAAAAACCAGCCCCAAAGAAAAGCATCTCGGAAATACAGGTGGCTTAAGCCCCCCCCCAGTTGTCAGCCCATTCTTTGGAAAAATTGACTGCCAGTTAACACAGACCCGTGGAAAGGCTTGGAGTGCCTCTTGCAAAAAGGCTGGCGGTGTGACGTAAATAAATCACCACCGTGACGATGGTTCGAATTTCTTACGGCCGGTTAAAGATCACCATGATTCGGAAAAAGAGGCTGGGAAAAAACTCAGTCTGGTGATTTAACAATGTCATACTTCGTTGGAAAGACCGCCTGTAGCTCGTTCAACTGTGTACGAGGACGGCAATTTGGTTGTAACTCACTCATCTGTACGAGGACCGTAATAATTTCCTTACCTCCCTTTTTTACGGCAGGGAAATCAGGCGCTGAGGTGCTCTCTGTGTTGAAATATCAAGCAGAAAACAGGTGGCTGCCAAGGTGAATATGGAGTTTCACCATGGAGAAAGCGAGGTCCTACTGGAGACCAAATTTCACAGGACTGACCTTCTGCAGAAAGGTTGTTCGAGTCTGTTGTTCGTTGATTTGCATCCTCAAAAGCCATGGGTTCTGTTTGCGCCTGTGCATAGCAATTCGCTTCAGGTATGGAATTATGAAGACGGTACACGTGTTGCCTCCTGGCAAATACCTGCGCGTGATTACCTCCTCCCGCAAGCGGCAAAGTTCATCGCACAAAAGGACTGGATTATTGTCCGGGGCACGTACGACTTCAAGGTGTACGAGTTCAAACCTCGAAGAAAGCTGCAAGATTGTCATGTAGAAGCGCTAAGGACACCTCGGAAGGATTCGATGTCTGCCCTGGCCGTCCATCACAGCGCAACGTATGTGCTGACTGCTTTTTACGATGGAAGTATAATGTTGTGGGATTGGAGCAGCGAACGCGGAGACATAACAACATTGAAAGGGCACTCTAAATGCGTGAACTGTCTGGCTTTTCATCCAACCGACTTGTCCGTGTTTGCCGCCTCGGAAGTTTCCATGATCAAGGTGTGGGATATGGAAACAAAGTCTGTTTCCCAAACTCTCGGTGACGATTGCAAGACGGATATGACCCTCAGCATGACCCTCAGCATGGAGTTTCACAGGGGGTTGGAGAAGTCACTTCTCATCATGGGCCACCACGATTACGAAGTAAGGGTCTGGGACTACAACAGTGTAGTTTGCGTAGTACAACTGGGAGGACACACTGGCTGGGCCATGTCGGCCTTCTTCCACCCGAACTTGCCGTATATCTTCAGTGCATCAATAGATGGAGAAATCACAGTTTGGAGAGAGTCGGACTATGACCTTGTCGCCGTAAACATGCCGAGTGGATTAGTGGGAAAGCTGTGGTGCATGGCTCCTTGCGGAAACTCTAACAAGCTCATTCTTGGAGGAAAGGGGGAGTTGAAGGTGCTAGAGGTTGTCGTAAGAGTCTCAGAAACGGACGATCCGACGGCGGTGCTAAGAAAGAAGATGGAGGAGCTTGAAACGGAGGCTGTCCGTGCTTTCACAAAGAAAACCGAGCAAGCGGTGGCCAGCGTGGAACGGAAGTACAGAAAGAAACTTGAGGAAATGAGAGCAGAGCACTGGAAAACGGAGCGAGCACAAGCCGACAGGGTCAAGCAGCTGGAGGAAGAGATCAGAAATCTGAAATCGGAGAGTTCATCGGCAGCCAAGAGGATTCAGGAGCTAGAGTCTGAGGTGCAAAACATGATCGCAGAGAGGAAAGCGATGGCCAGGTGAAGAAGAAGCTTGCACAGTCAATTGAATATTATGCCATATTTGACTCGTCATCATGATGGTGGAAGTTAAAACTGACAGTTAACCTCCTCCAGCACCGTAAGTTACTCAGTCTGACAACGCCGAGCCCGGATCATGGGAAATTATGGAGTACATATTACGGAAAGGGGTTACCTAGACAGTTGGAAACGATGGAAAGAGAGCCATATCCACCTGTATCGGATTCCACCCATTTGTCAAGCAGCCCTGCTTGAACACACACACAGGCACCAGGATTCAATTTGGGGATCCGAAGCGACATTTAGCTTTCACACTCACAGATTCAACCCGACAGTGTGTGTGAACATACGCATTGGAGTTATGGTTCTCACGAAAAAGGGTAATCAATGCTGGCAGGATGGCACAGCAGGCCCAGTCTTTTGATGTTCCTTTTTCTGTTCCTGTTTCAAATGGGACGCCGGGCCCAGTTCGCAGCACGTGCTGCTCCCCACGAATAGATCGGAGCTGTTACCATCAGGGAAAAAAAAAAAAAAAAAAAAAAAAAAAACGGCATTGGAGTTATCATTCTCGGCGTTTCTCGCAACACATTATTCGCTTCAATTCTTCTGTGTCAGTTGACGAAGTCACTGCCTGCAATGGCATGATTGCCCTCAGACCACGTGCAGTGTGGATGGAACTTGCCCACTTCATCTGTAATGTGTGGGGTATGGCTGCGGCGGGGAGAGAAGATAAAGTGGGGGTTGTGTTCAAAGGGGATGGGACAGTAATACAGTCCGACTCGTTGCAACGTCGTTGGATCTGTCGAAGTCCAATTCAGATTCCCTTTGGCATTTGAACCACTGGCAGCTTCGGATTGTCTGCAGCTAAGTACCGCGCCATAGGGCTGTGCATTCAAGTTTAGCAGCTGGCAGGTCTTGGTACGTGCAGCATGGATAAGTTTATCCAAGCGTATATATATATATATATATAGGGTTCAGCCTCCTGATGAGTCGGTGAAACTCTGACGAAACAGTTTGTCACAGCCCCTCGTTTGTTGTCCTCTTCTCCCTCTCTGCCTACGGTTTACCGGGCAGTTCTATTTGACGATATATATATATACGTATATATATATATATATATATCGTCAAATATATATATATATATCGTCCCTGTGTTTAACACCTTCCCCTTCACTCTGCCTCTCTCACAGCGTGCAAGTGGGCTGTTATGGCATACGGGGATGGGGGCAGCTCGCGCTCAA